TTTTTGTTATAAATCCAGAAGTGCTATCACATACAACGGAACGGTTTTTCCACCATCAAATGACCGTGACATTTTTTGTTTTTGTTTTTAACTGCAAACCACCACCATTAGTGGTCAGCACTGTTGTCTCGCAGTACCAGTCAATTGGGTTCAATTCCATCCTCGGGCGACTGTCTGTGTGGAGTTTGCACATTCTCCCCATGTCTGTGTGGGTTTCCTCCGGGTGCTGCGGTTTCCTCCCACAGTCCAAAGATGTGCAGGCTAGGTGGATTGGTCATACTAAATTACCCGTGGTGTTCAGGGATGTGCAGGTTAGGTGGGTTAGCCATGGTAAATGCAGGGTTATGGGATAGGGTCAGATCGGGGCGGGGGGATGATCTTTGGAAGGTCAGTGCAGATTCAGTGGGCTGGATAGCCTTTGTCTGGACTGCAGGGATTCTGTGATCTTAACCACCCATGCAGCCAATTGAATATTTACATGCAAAGCGGATACAGGCAACACAAACCATCAAAAGGTGAGGGAAAGGTAGGGACAGTGAGAAATAGCCAAATCAAAATGGAATTGGAGGGGGAGATAAAGCACTGTACCCACAGCAGTGCCCATCTCTCTCTAAAGGCATAGAGAGGATTGGTGCACCCACTTTGAAGCCACCCAGACATCAATGTATCCACAGCAGAGGGCAAAGAGTCGGCAGAGATGACCCCCTCCACAGCCCGCAATGGGTATATTCCAGATTTGTTAATTGGATTAAAATGCCATCAATTGCTGTGATGACATTTGATCCCAAATCCCCAGAGCATTAGCCTGGGCTTCTGGATTACCAGTTTGAGACATTATCACTATCTCCACTGAATGAACACAAGTTCCACTTTTCCTTTTGTATAAACCCAATGCAGCAAATGTACTTTCCAGCTGTTTCAATGCCCCCATGGGGACCATCTGCATTCCGAAAACTTACTCTGCAAAACCTGTTCACTGAACATAAGGACTAGGAGCAGATGTAGACAATTCAGCCTTTCAGGCCAGCTCTGCCATTTAATACGATCCTGGCTGATCTCATCTCAGTCTCAACTCTTTCCTGTCCACTCCCAATAACCCTTCAACCCATTACTAATTAAAAATCTGTCTATCTCCTCCTTACTCAATGTCCCAGAATCCACTACAACCTGTGGCAGTGAATTCCACACATTCACGACCCTTTGAGAGAAGTAATTTCTTCTCATCTGTTTTATATCTGCTACCGCTTAGCCTCAAACAACGACCTCTCGTTCTAGATTGCCCAATAAGAGGAAACATCTTTTCTGTGTCTACTTTGTCAATCACTTTTTGCATCTTATATACTTTAATTATATTTCCTCTCATTCTTCTAAGCTGTAGAGAGTATACGTCTTAATTGCTTAATCTCTCTTCATACTTCAAACCCCTCATATCTGGAATCAATCTAGTGAACCTTCTCTGAACTGTCTCCAATGTAACTATATCCCTTCTCAAAGAAGAGGACCAAATCAGTATGTAATACTTCAGGTGCGATATACAGTTGCAGCAACACTTCCCTAATTTTGTACTCTATTTCTTTTGCAATAAATGCCAGAATTCCATTTGTCTTCCTTTTTACCTGCTCTACCTACATACTAGTTTTCAGTGATTCATGCACAAGAACACCTAGATCCCTCTGCACTGAAGCACTCTGAAGTTTTTTTTTCCGTTTAGATAAGTTGCCTTTCTATTCTCACCACTAGAATGGATTACCTCACACTTATCCTTGTTAATCTCCATCTGCCAGATTTTGGCACATTCACCTAACCTATCTACATCCACTGGTAAGTTTCTTAATTGCAACTTACTATCTCACCTATTTCAGTGTCATCTGCAAATTTGTCTATGGTCCTTTCTGTCCCTGCGTCCAAGTGATTATAAATAATGGAGACCAAGGACTGAACACTGTGACACCCCACTAGTTACATCATGAAATGGGGTCGGCTTAGTTCAGTCGGCAAGACAAAGGTTTGCGAAGCAGTGTGATGCTGTCAGTGTGGGTTCAGTTTTCTCACTAGCTGAGGTTACCATGAAGGGCTGTGCTTCTTGAACTCTCCCCTCATCTGAGGTATGGTGGCCCTCAGGTTAAATCACCACCAGTTGTCTCTCTGCAATGAGAGTGCAGCCCTGTGGCCTAATAAGACTATAGTGACTTGACATCATGCCAGCCAGAAAAAAGACCCATTTATGCCTACTCTCTGCATTGTTAATTAGCCAATCCTCTATGCAAGCTAATAAATTACCTCTAACCCTATGTGATCTTGCTTTGCGTATTACCCTTTTGTGCATGGCCCACTGGCCTGAGTTTTCCTCCACAATCCCACCCCAGATTAGGTTGGATGGTAGTGCAGTGCACAGTGACGTTAGCTCTTAAAATCTCCCTCAGCGTTTCCATTCCCATATTTACTTCTTGTTCACCTCCTGCCAACTCCTCACTCAGCCAAGAAGTTCGGGGAATGTCCTTTCCATGCCCACATTACAAAAACAAAGAAGAGAAATTTGTTTTCATATAACCTACTGAATGCAGTAGAATGTCCTAAGGCCTTTTACGAGAGCAAGACCGAATAAAATTTGACATCGAGACTCAAAAGGAGATATCAGCACAAGTGTTCAAAAAAGCTTGGTCAAAGTCCATTTCAAATAGTTTTAAAGGAAACAGAGAAACAGAGAGTTTCAGGAGGGAATTCCAGACCTTGGGCCTTGGCAGCTGAAGGTATAGCCACCAAAGGTGGAAATGCCACCGTTCAAATGAGATGCAATACCTATACCCAGTTTGCTCTCTTGGATGCTTCCAAAAGATCCCAAGAGCAGTGAAGTGGTCCCTGATGTTGTGAGTCAATATCCATCCCTCAGTCAAAAGTTCCATGTCTTCCAGTTTTCTGACAGTCTTGTTGTATTCCCAATTCTAACAATTCTAAAATATGGCCCTGGCTTATTATAACCTGAATATATACTTTAGTGATGTTGACCCTATTTGCTCATGGGATGTGGGTGTCACTTGCTTTATTGCCCATCACTAGTTGCCCAAAGGGTAGTTAAGAGTCAGCTGCATTGCTGTGGATCTGGAGTCACATGTAGGCCAGACCAGGTGAGGATGCAGATTTTGTTACCCAAAAGGACATAAGTGAAGTAGATAGGTTTTTATGACAATCAGTAGTGGTAACAAGGTGGCCATTAGGTTAGCTTTGTATTCTAGATTTATATTGGATTCAAATTTCACCATCTGCCCATTGAGGTGTTCAATCTCTAACCCCAGAACATCAATCTGATGGTCTGGATTACAAGTTAGTGACATTACCATGATGTCAGCACTTCCCCATCCAGGGACTGAGGAATAAATATTGGCCCAGGATGTTGGGGAGAGCTGTTTTGCTCAAGTGTCATGGGATATATTACATACCCCCTGAGAGGACAGAGAGGGCCTCAATGTAATATCTCAGCGGAAAGACAGAAACTTGGAAAGTGCAGCACTCCCTCAGTACTGCAGTGAGGTGTCAACCTGGATTTTGTGTGGAACTCACTGAAGGCTAACTTGAACCCATTTTTTTTACCTTGGGGAAGAGTTTTACAATTTGAACTAAACTCCTGACAGTCTTCAGCACTCAATGCATAAGGAGGTTTCCCTGACTTCCTTAATGGGTTTATTAGTAACTGTCTTAATCACATTGCTCTTGTTTTTGACTCTCCCACAAATGTAATCAACTATGTTTTACAAAACATTGTTTTTCAGGTTTAACAGCCCTTTCCATTAATGCCTAATGTAGCCCTTTCCAAAGCATTTTCATTCAACATGAAAAAGCATTAAGGACAAAATAATTGGAATACAGTGGGGTGCATTAATGTGAACCATCTGAAAAATTAACTTATGATACCAAGTTCAAATGCATGTGCTCAACAACAAATGGGATGTACTCAATTCCTGTAAGCATTTCTATTTATAGCCTGTGTTGCACAAGTGTTTTTCATCATAAAATGGATCATATAAATGACAAACAGAAGAGACAGGATTAGGACAAACAGCAGAAGACTCAGGCCAGATCCAATTGGATTCTGTCAATGTATTCAGATATCTTTTAAAACTGGTCAATCTTCAGGTTTCAATTCAAAAAGGAAAGTTCATGCAATCCCAGACTAGGTTTTTCAGAACCTCCACACCATAGCCTTACAAAATGGGGTCAAATTTCACATACTTACCAATCTGAAACCCTCTTAACACCCAGCGAGCAGGAGTGGGAAAGGTAGGCGCTCAGGACTAAATGTCTTCCCCCTCCAACCTCCCATTAAAATTAATTAATGGCTGCTCAATTTGGCCAACAATAAGAATAGCCAAACAATAATATTATTTTTATATTAATCCATCATTTTGCTGAAGCTATTAGGAACACTGCTTGCAAAAATAAACATCAATGCAAAAGTTTGTTTTCAGAAACCTTCTGTCTTGAATGGTGGTCTTTTTTGTTTCTTAGAACTGAATTAAAGTTTAGAATGGTGACTCATCAAATATTGGAATAATTAGGGACATGTAGAAATAATCCAATGTGCTCCACAACAGCAACATGAAACAAAATTAAACATTGAGCCACATGAGGAGACAGATGCACAAAAACTCAGTTAAAGAGATATGTTTTAAAGGGTATTTTGAAGGAGCTAATGAGGTACAAAGATTTAGAGTGGGATTTCCAAATCTTAGGCAGTCGAAAGCATAGTCTGCCAATGGCGAGTGATTAAAAATCAAAAAGGTACAAGATTAGAATTGGAAGAGCGTAAAGAACATGGACTGTTTTAGAAAAATTGATGATAATTTTGAAATCAAAACATTGCCAAACGTAGACCAATGCAGATCAGTGAGCACAAAGGGTGATGTGTGAGTGAGACTTGATAGAGGTTAGGAGAGGGGCAGCAGAGTTTACACAGTGGGTGCCTTCATGATAACTGAGAGGCGTTTTCTGATCTCTCTCGACAGGAGTGTGTGCTGTTGGAAAGCCAATGTGTCTGCTCTTTGAGTACATGGCTTACGGAGACCTGAACGAGTTCCTACGCACGAGGTCAGCCATCAACATCCGCACCTTAAGTCAGGCCAGTTTCTCGCAGCGGAGTATTGGCTCGGGCATGGATCTGATCCCCCTCAGCTGCGCAGACCAGCTCAACATTGCCAAGCAGATCTCAGCTGGCATGACTTACTTGTCCGAGCGCAAGTTCGTCCACCGGGACCTGGCCACGCGCAACTGTTTGGTGGGAGAGAACCTGGTGGTGAAGATAGCAGACTTCGGACTCTCTAGGAATATCTACTCTGCGGACTATTACAAAGCTAATGAGAATGATGCCATCCCCATCAGGTGGATGCCACCTGAATCTATTTTCTTCAATCGTTACACGACCGAATCTGATGTCTGGGCTTATGGCGTGGTCCTTTGGGAAATCTTCTCTTCTGGCATGCAACCCTACTACGGCATGGCCCACGAGGAGGTGATTTACTACGTCCGAGATGGGAACATCCTGTCGTGCCCTGAGAACTGCCCGCCAGAGCTGTACAATTTGATGCGTCTCTGCTGGAGTAACATGCCATCCGACAGGCCGAGCTTTGCAAGCATCCATCGCATTCTGGAGCGCATGCATGAGAGAATGACACTCACGGTGCCTGTCTAACCCCCTTCTAACTTTCTATCACTCCATGTCCTGGATTCCCTGTGAGAATGGTGAGCATTGCGTTGACTGGCTGGCTGCCATGGGCAACAGAAATGGAGACACAATGTGCCACCAGAACACACAGGAGCCAACATTTAGACCACCGCAGAGCTCTCCCTTTCTGAATCTTGTGTTTTATGTAGCGTTTTAAAGACACCAGCCCTCGTGTTCTTTATTCAGGAGTTACAGTATGATTTTATATAAGTGATGTATGACAGCATATTGCGAGGGTTTGTGATAGAATAGATAAGGAGAAACTGTTTCCACCAGCATTGGGTCAGTGACCTGTGGTCATAAATTCAAGATAATTTATTTGATCCTTGCATGGGATGTGGGTCTGACTGGCAAAGCCAGCATTTGCTAGGCATCCCTCATTGCCTTTGAACAAGAGTTGCTTGTTGAGCCATTTCAGAGCAGAGCAGAGACAAATCACATTTCTGTGGGTGTGAATACAGATGTAGGCCAGGCCGGGTAAGGATAACAGACTTCCTTCCCGAAAGGACATTAGCGAATCAAATGGGCTTTTACAACAATTAACAAGGGTTATATGGTCGCCATTTCACAAAACGAAATCAGCAGGAAAATATGAGATAACATGTAGAGCTGGATGAACACAGCAGGCCAAGCAGCATCAGAGGTCAGGAAAGCTGACGTTTTGGGTTATCTCAGATTCTCCAGCATCGGCAGTTCCTACTATTTCTGTAACAGCAGGAAAATAGTTTTTTTTTAATCGCAGTGATTTGTTATTGCAGCACCTGAAAAGATGATAGAAACAGATTGTACAGTCACTCTCAGAATGGAATTGACTCTTTGGGGAAAAAGGAGAATTTGTCAGGACTTGGAGAGACAGCAGTAGTGGGGGGACAGCAATGGGAGGAATTGGAGAGCTTTCTGGAGAGCTTTCCACAGAACCAGTAAAAGTTTGATGGGCTGAATCACCTCCATCTGTTCTGATGACTCTATTACCAAGACAGACTTTAACACAAAGCAGAATTGTTTCGATCGTTAACTACTGATGAGGTATTTTTGCTTTAAATTCATGCTGCGCTGGTAGTTTATCTTCTTGAGGAATAAGTATTGTAGAGAGATAGCAGATGAATTTCAATAGCCACCACTGAAAACCTGAGTCCATCAACAGAGAGGAGGCCCAATCCACATATTTGTAAGTAACTGCAGAGCAGAGATACATGCTGCTGAAAGGTTTGCTTTATTGAGTAAATTAGTGCGACGGATATTTCATACTGAAATTTTGGCTTGACTATCACACAGAGGGAGGCAGTTTACCAATGCTGAGAATACTGGTGAAAAATGCGGCTTCATTATACACTTTTCACTGTAATCTTGTACCCCATACTTGAGTACACATTGACAATAAAACCTAAATCGAAATCTAAATCCCCACTGCATGGTTCCAACGGAGTTGGCCAGAGATTCATCGAAACACTGCAGATAATAGCAGTTGAGGTAACGATTGAACTATTTAACTCGGCTGGATTGCCCTGTACTCAAACAAATTGTGACTGAGTAAGAATTTGTTCTGAGGAGCCTTGTTTTGAGGTGAACTACTTCTAGATCTTTTCCTTCGCACCTGTGCACTTCAGTACTGCCTCTCCAAAGCAGTCTTTCAGATCTGCTGGTGATTTTCAGGTTCTGGTTGTACTGAGTTAGGTATGCCCCCAGTCCTTCATGGATCCTACAAACTGAACCTTTTTGTCTACAGCCAGAGCATTTTCAAAAGAATGAATAGGCATAATGCAACACACGACTCTTCAGATTTACCTATTGTTCAGCAGCGCTTGTTCTTCCTTGTCTTATTTAAATGCAATCTGATGGAAATTTCACACTCACAATGAAGTGTTGTCAACACAAAAGAGAGCTTGGAATTTGAGAAAAATCAAAAACAAAACCCTCAACTCAACAGTTCCCATTGATTCCAGCCATGAATAGTTGTTCATCTTTGTGGTCACTACAATTAGCATGAAAACCCACTCTCACATCAAAATCTCTCAAGGCTGTTACAAAGCAGAGTATTTGGGTGAATGTCAGAACATTTTCTACAGATGGTGCAGTTGCAGTAAACTTAATTAGTACTAGAAGGGCTGAGTCCCAACTCTTTGTTAAACTTCAACCACTAAAAAGACATAGTCAATTAACAAAATGAAACTATAAGTTTCTAATGCCCTTGACAATGTGTATTCACATTATTGGTGCACTCAGTATCTCATTAGATAGATGCCTGTGTCATTTTCGTGAATGCCATTGTGATGCTCTGCTTTCCAACTATTTTGGAGCACATTGGAGAGATAATGCATGCACCAGGGTAACGTCACATTTTTAATTAGACTGGTGCACAATGATTTACTGTACCAGATACAAGTTATATTTTTTTTTAACCAAATATGCTCTAATATACAGCACCAATTATTTAAGGGTTTCTTTGGTCCCACCCACAGCCCCTTGCTACAAGTTGTCTAAGAGTCAGTAATGAATATCATATTTATTTCCAGAGTTTAGATTTCTTTTCCTGTTATACATTATCAACTTAAAGTTTTTGAGAAGATTTGTGGCTCGGGTTGTGGATGACGTTGCAGACTTGCTTGCCGAGTCGGTGGGTTTGGTTGCAAACATTTCATCATCCTGCTAGGTAACATCGTCAGTGCGCCTCCGGTAAGGCATCGGTTTTCTGTCCCGCTTCCTATTTATATTCCTCGGTTTGCTGGGATGGTTCTGGTTATGTCTTTCAGTGGTTTGTATATCGGGTCCAGTTCAAAGTGTTTGTTGATGGAGGTCCGGTCGGAATGCCAGGCCTCCAGGAATTCCCTGGCGTGTCTGTTTGGATTGTGCTATTATGGGTGTGTTGTCCCAGTCGAATTCGTGTCCTTCTTTGTCTGTGTGTACATTTCCCACAACTCGGAATTGTGCAAAGTTTTTAAAGGAATGGATATCCCAAAAGCACAATCCGCCATTACCTCCACAACAGACCACAACAAGAAAACACAACACGGCCAGACACACTAGTCACCCTATATACATCAGGGACATATCATAGATGACCAAAAGACTACTCAGACCCCTTAGGTATCAGAGTGGCCCACAAACCAACAACCACCCTGTGACAGCTACTGACGAATGTAAAGGATCCCATACCCACAACCAATAAAACTAATATAATATACAAAATACCATGCAAGGACTGTGAGAAACATTACATAGGCCAAACTGGAAGAAAACTGACAATAAGGATACATGAACACCAACTAGCCACCAAGAGACACTCACTGGTCTCAATACAGATGGACGAAGAAGGACACGAATTTGACTGGGACAACACATCCATAATAGTACAAGCCGAACAGAGACATGCCAGGGAATTCTTGGAGGCCTGGCATTCCAACTGGAACTCCTTCAACAAACACATTGAACTGGACCTGATATACAAACCACTGAGAAACAGAACCGGAAATTATACCAGCCATACCAGCAAACCGAGGCATATAAATAACAAGCGGGACAGAACACCAACACTTCACCGGAGGTGCACCGATGATGTTACCTTGCAGGGTGATGAAATGTTTGCAACCAAACACACCAGCTCAGCGCGCAAGTCTACAACCTCAAACATTATCAATATTTTCTCTTAAAATGTCTGTGTATTGTGACTCCATTGCTGCTGGTCTACATGCAGGTGATTGGTTGGGGAGGTTAACCTGCTTGAAGACCATACCACTGTAAGGGGCTCGGGTTGATTTTTTTTGCCCAGAAGTTGTAACAATCTTCCACTCTCTACATTATTGAGGGTGGAATAATTATGCTTTTATTGGGAGGCATTGATGGAATTTTGATCATGAACTTTATGCTGCAGACCCTTTTTAAAGAGACTCTGTAAATGTTGCTCTAAACGCAATTTGCTTGCTGTAATTCGAGCCCACCTCCAACGTTTTAACCAACACAGTGATGCCAATTGATACTGTATTAAATCAGCACACCAATTTTCAATTGGGTGTATTACCATTCATTCTCTGTATACTGACAGGTTAGCATGTGTCTTGTAACTTGAACTGGCAACATATGTTAGTCAGTCAGGGCATATGATTCTGTGAATACACAAGCAACAATGGGACAAAATAAGAATATCGAGACAAACTAATCTATCCCATAAAATTCAGCCCAAACTTAGCTGAATTGCAACACAGTGAGACTCTCACATTTCTCACCATAAATCCAGCATGGGCATCATTCTGGGTTAAAGAGTGCTCAGACTGCTACAGCATTTTAAAACATATCCTACTTCAATCTAAATGTTTTAAATACACAAGAATCCTGTCCTCCAAATGCCTTCAGCAATTACGTTTCTAACTACCAAGCGCACTTCCAGTCAGGCAGGAGCCAGGCAATGTAAATCTGGTATTGCTGGCTGATATCCAAATTGTAGCTCTCAGTGTCAGACCAGTCTCAACTGCAGTGTGAATGCACCCTTAATACAAAATAAATCCACGTCATAGAACCGTGACTGTGAAACCATCTGCCCATTTAGTGTCTGGAAGGCTGAGGAAACATGGGGGTATGTTGTCACTTATTGCAGAGCAGGGTTGGCAGATGGTGCAACTCAGTGTTGACTATAAACTGCAACTTGAGGCAATGGACATAGGGCAAGGACAGAAATCTTAGGATGCGTCCCGCTGTACGAAAGCATCCTCCAGTTCTGCTCGGTTTTTATTCCTACAGCGTTGGATTCCATTTGCTGCCTCCATGTTTAAATCAGTGCACTCAAAGATGCACTTTGTATGACCATTTCAAATACTGCAATATGCCACTGAATAATTTGTTATTGCCAGAGTGCTTGAATTATCTGAAATAACCATTCAACAGCGTTAATATAAATTTTTATGGTGGTACAACCATTAAATACTGTTTCTAGTGACACTAAACAGGATAGGAGTAGGACCCACTAATTGAACTCA